TATATATATTATAACTGAAGTTAAAATATGTTATAACTAATAACTGATGCAGAGAGCTGTTTTAATTGATATAATTTGCTGTGCAAAATTTCAAAAGTTTATTGCTTATTTCCTTTCAGGCATTGTGGGGTGTAATCGACAAAAGCAACACACTTCGAGATGCACTGTACCACACGTTATATGCAATGGAAACTAAGTAAGTTAAATTGAATTTCCCTTTTTGCTTCTTATCGCATTTTTCTACTTTTACTAACTAATTCCATATGTGTCTACATTTTAAACTGAAATGTAGTATTAAATAGCATCTCCTTGCTTCCAGCAGGTTTTTTTAGTTTTCGAAGTCGATGGGCAACTTCTTTGATGAAACTCGGATTAAATTTTGATATTTGGATGATGCAACGCCACTGGTCAAGCATTATTGAATGTAATGACCCTGGCTTTCCATTAGAGCAGGTATTTGAGGTTTTTTTTGTAGCAGAAAAATTTTTTCAAGCCTTTATTGCAGTTGTTTAAATCAGTATGTCTTAATAATATTTCAGATTCATATACTCGTTTTGGCACAGGTGTTAAATCGTCCAATCATTGTATTTCCTATTGAGTCGTCAAAATTCCCTGCTCGGGATGGACGTCCTGGTGGTTGGAAACATCCAGTTGAAGGATTTTATCCACAATTGCCTGGTTTAAACATGTACCGATTGTGCCCACCTTTGTTACTTGGCTATACTAATGGAAATTTTTATGCGCTTATATTACCTCCACGTCCTGCTGTTGGTTAGTTTTACTATACTGTTGTTACACTATTCCAAATATGAAAAGAAAGTAATTTTTATTATGGCTAATAAATTCATTCATTCATTTTGAAGTCCTTTTTAAAGGAATAGAACTGCAACATAGTGCTCTCTTTTGAAAAGTTTCAATAACCAGAGATCGTATGAGGTTTGAGAAAGTAGGTGAAACTATTTTAATTTTTTATGATTTAGGGCGAGTAGATCCAGGTCGTCCATCACGTATTTATCGATATATACGTTGTCCACCCTATCCTCTTACGGAGTATGTGCAGTTTGTGAATGATGCAAAGGAAGCAGAAGATTTCATTAAGGACAACATTGTTGTTGATGTGGATTGTAATGGGCAGCAGTGGATTTATCATTCAACGTTTGGTTCATCTCATACAAAGAATGATTTGGGCTTTCTATTGTGGAGTAAGTTCTTATCTAACGCTTTTCATCTAATGTAAAAATGCCAAGGTTTTTTGTACATGATTATTGTGAATTGGCTCCATTTTCGGTAGCGAAGTTCATGATATTAAAGCTGCAATTTCTTCAGAGGATTGGATAAAAACGCATTTTCCAAAAATCATTCGCGAAGATTGTGAGGTAATATTTTTTATGTTCTTGGTTAGTGAGTCTGTCCTTTATTTTTGGAATACTTGGGTTGTTTTTTCCTAGTTATGAAACTGTGTCGAAGTTTTCTGCAGAAGATGAGAATTTCTAAGCTTTATTTTGTCGTTATAACATAAAACATTCGCCCATTACTATTCAACTCTAAATTGTAACATTTTTAATATATCGGTCTTCATTAAATATTTCTTTTCAATATATTTATAATACAGAAATGATATTTTTAGTTGCAGAATGCGGTTACAGCTTCTGAAGACAGTGCTTCAAAAGTAGGCCGAATTGGTGGTAACTCACCGTAATGAAGTTACTATGCTATAGAACATTAGAGTGATTATGACTGTACTAGTTTGTTGTAACGATTTTGGTGAAAATATGCACTAATTGATGGCAGTAAAAATGGGAACGTTTATTGTCGTGAATTTCATCTGGTTCAAAATGCTAACGAAATCCTAAAAATCTTTCGAAGCAATCAGTTATATTATTCGGATGGCAAATGGAATGAAATTTGTATTGAATGTATAATGCATATACTCTTTGGTAGGAAAGATCAATTGCTTCTAATTATCTGTATTTGATTTTTTTGTAGTAGGCGTCCAAATAATTTGCTGAAAGTGCAAAATTGCCAGTTATAAAGATTATACGTTTGATTTCTTTTACAAATATTTCATGTACTCAATAATTTAGTTGTTTTGAATTCCCATTTTTTTCATCTTTACCGTTTAAGTAAAAGAATTTCGAAATATTCAAAATTTCATACAAAAGGATGAAAGTTTCACACGATATTTCACAAATTAGGAAATTTTCATTCATTGTTGAAAATTTCATGACTTCAAAGGATGAGAATTCATCGAAATTTCATACGAAAGATTGTAAATTTTCATAAAAGCAAACAGTCGTGACATTTGATTTTGTTAGGTTTATTTATGAAGGTGTTTGCCCGCGTTCTGAAAATCTAATTATGCACTGTCACCATTTTGCATGAATGTGTGATTATGGCGTCTTTCGATAGAATGCTATTAGTAATTTGATCCATATTAAAGTTTTGCTATGGAAAATAGAATCATCTTTTCTTACAAACGTACTGTACGCTGCATTTTGTACATTTAGAAAAACCTAGAAGTGCTGCTGAGCTGGGTCGTTCTTTTCAGTATTTATTGTTGTGGATTGTCAACAGTGTTGGGGTTTTCGGAACTCCAGTTTCGACAGAAGGGTGATATTTCGTAGCGCTACTTGAGTGGCGTTGTAATATAGGCATATTGCCTAACAGTTCGAAACGGTAAGTAGTATGGAGCTAACGCTTTATGTTTTTTTTTTATACTGCATGATTTACAGAGGCGCCCTGCTGTAAGTGGTCAGTGGGAATAAGATTCAGATGCACTCTGGATGCAGTCGAACAGGGTAACTTCTGTATGCTTACCTTATTCTAACTACTGTGGAATTAGAATTGAAGTTCCCGCGTTGCCGGCGTGGTTATGAGGCAAGTTAGATGGGATGAAAAGTATTCATTTTAGTTGGAAAATACAGTGGTATGAAGTAATATGTGCAACAAACATGAAAAATTGAAAAACTTTAAAAAGGCGGGATGAAGTCAATATGCATGAGGGTTTTTCAAGGTTGTTAGGGACAGGTAGAATCATGCTCTTGAAACTGTTTGTAAACTTTATTTTCGCAGCATTATTTGGATGAGCAGTAAAGAAAGACGTGATTAATCTGCATAAATTACAAACTTTTTATTGGTATTGTATCTGAACCTTTTTATTGCGATATCTATCCTCGAAGATATTATAAATGAAAGCTCTGAAGAGAAAAGTTATTACTGTTCTCTTTGTGAAAAATAAGTTGTTAGTCCATTCTTTTATGATGAATAATATGTAGCTTAGGTCAATCCTTTTAATCGTTCATATAACATTTAGTGGCGCAAAACGTCTTTAGAAAACTCACAATATCTTTATGTCTTGTATCATTCAATCCCATAGAAATGCATTCTACCAAACCTATGATTGGTATGAATGAAAGATCGAGAAATTTAATCAATGTTTTCGGCTCTCAAAAAGTGGAGATTAAAGATTCTTATCACTAAAAGTGGAACTCACTTCATAATATTACGGGGATGGTTTGCTTTCTTTTATTTATTAAATTTGGTATACATGAGGCTGGTCGTGTTTGACGCTTGAGATTTAAATGTGTGCAAGTAACAACCATCTGTGGAAGAGGATATTTGACTGTTCCTAGAGGAGTCGTCAGCTGTTCCACTTGTTGCCGGCAATGCTGCATACTGTATGTTGTTTTTTTCCGTACTAAAGAAATTTTTTTGAGACTTTGAAAGCTTATAAGCAATGTTTATGTTTTTAAAGATTTTTCTTAATATTTTGTTTTGAAGCTGATTTACATAATCTGAAGTTAATGTTAAGAATCCTCTTTCATTTCTGTTAATTAGAAATATAATGCCATAACTGCTACTACTTACTTAAATGCTAATTTTTAGCAAAATTCCTCTTACAAGCAGGAATATCAAAAAGAATAAAAATCATTTTAGATGATATTACATATTTTTAGAAACATTTCCAATTAAAAAAAAATCCATTTACCGTTTTGACGTTGATAATTGTACACCAGAGGATATAACTGTGATGTGATTTGGCTGTATTATTTGGCTCTTATTCGTAATTCCTGTAAATTATCTGACGATAACTAGAATTTTAGGTATAAGTTATTTCAGTAAAGAAGTCGATTTGTACGAGTTTAATTTTTTGAGGGACAGCTACTCAACTGAATGGGTAAAGATACTTAACAAACTTTGCGAGCATTGAGATTTACACTTGAAATGGGACTTGTTACTGCAAACATATCATTCGTTAAAATAATTAACATTACCCATAGTGTATTGACAGAATTTTATGTTTGCAACTAAGAAATGATGTTTCTGAAAAATACGAGTGAAAAAATAAAATGATGAAAACAGGAATAACCTTTAAACCAAAAAGATTCGTCATGGTTATCATTGGTTTGTAAAACTTTTTCCACTGGTATCTGAATATCATTAGCTTCTGATATCACATTTTGATATATTTTCCCATTAATCCACAATTTATCTGAACAGATAAAATTCTGAGTATGACTTATTCAATGAAATGAAATCAAAATCAAATTTCGTACAACCATCTGCGCTTCATCCATCAGAATCGAAATCAGCTGAAATTGACATAGAGCGATAAAATTTTTTGAATTTCACTAAACCTTTGAATGAAGTAAGAAGAGTGTTCTTCCCCTTCTTCTTTTCACCATACGGGCTAGGCATGATGTCGTAATCTCTGCTGAATGAAGAACTTTTCAAAGATGCAACAGAAGGTGGCCGATTCTCACTACACTGAAAAACACAATTTGATCTTTCACTTTTCCTTAATTGAAAATGAATGCCTTCATTTAAAAGGTAGCTGCATATCAGATGTTCCATATACAAAGACAATACTCCTCACCCTCGGTAACTTCAGTTCTTTCATTTGGAACACACTGTTGCCTGACCTAATCATTATGCTCTTATTGTTCGGAATGCATCTAAAAGTTTTGGTTTTCTTCTTTGCTTAGCAAAAGAAAATTCAATCAAAATTTCTGTTGTTAACCTTCATCTTAAGGGGAGTAAATTCGTTCACATCACTTATGGCTGACATTGCTATTGCTGGCTCGTAGTAAAGATGTGATTTTTGAACCCGTTGTTCGTTAAATATTCTATGTGATGTGTCCATGAATTTACCACGAGCAGCTTGAAATAAAAGTAGATTACTTTTAACAACGTTTTTAGAAAGAAGGGAAATTTTCGACAGCAATAAAGCAATGAAATATCAAGTGATTGAGCGGAAGAAATGCCAATTATCCAATCTAAAAATACATATCTACTGCTTGAAGTCTCGGGATCAGAAACATACAGTTAAGTTAATTTTTTGAACCAAATTTACTCGAAAAGCAAAGATACCTCTGCCAATTTTTCTTGTACGTTGTTGCCTCAGATTGTATAGCAGTAAGCCAAACATGATGAAAATAAATGGTGAAAGGAATGAGGTAATAAGGAAGAGGATGGTACTTTGTGTGTTCCAACTTGATGTCATGTATGAAAAACGATGATTGAGTAATGCCAAAAGACTTGCGGAATTGTTGATCATGTTCTGTGACATTCTATCTGCATAAATGACACAAAAATATGTCTTAAAAAATGAATCAAAATTACAGAAAATTATAAAATTAGAGAATCGTTGTACGGATAAAAATACACCTAAAGTGCGTGCAACGGACGGTTCACTTCGTAGGCTCGTTTTGTCAGCAAATTCAACTTCGACAACGGCCCGATATTCCGTAGAAGGTAGTAAATTACTTAAATTAGTCATCGAAACTGAACTGTTTAATCGCATCTGAAACACTGTAGTTTGGTCTTGGAAAAGTAGTAATAAGTAATATCAACAGTGTTATATGTTTCATGATCCCGAACTATTTTAATGATTCAAAATTTTTGTATATAATCTAATATGGAATTACCGTATGAGTGTAGTTTTTATCAGAAATATTAGCATATGAAATGAGAAAAGTTTTGGGAGATTTTATATAGTTCAAAGTAGTGTAATTCCAACAAAGTTGAAGGACGGTATCCGAAATTGGAGAAAAGGTGATATTAAGTTGTGAACTGATTCCGTCATCATTTTCGGGTGCTTGTTCAATCATAAGCCAATCGGTAGGTGAAGTTGATATAATACTTTGATCCAACATTTTCGCTAACACCCGAAATTGATATCTTAAATGTGAATTTCCCGTAATTCATGGCTAAAACTTGCTGTAGAAATTCTGTAAATTCATTCAAAATGTTGCATATTCAACAACTTATAAATTCTACTTATTAATAACATGAATATAACTGTTTTATTGGCGAAGACAACTTTATGTAATAAAAATCGGAAGCCAAGGAGTCACTTAACAAGTTAAATGTTTCAATATTTCATAATTTTGATCTTCAAAATTTCTGAGACCCTTTACTCTCATGTTTGAGATTGCTATTCAAATCAATGGTTAATGAAATAATTTACACTTTTGTTTCATTCGAAAGAAAAAACAAAATAACCTAACCTATTTCCAGGAACTAATGCTTTGATAGTAACAGCGCGCACATGTCCGTCTACTACATCACCAATGATCCACTTCTTGTCATTACTTTCAGCTCGAAATTCAACTTGAAATGACGTAATTTTATTCAGAAATGAATAACTCTTGGGCAGTGACCACAGCACTCGCACATTTCTTCCGGAAATGAACGCTCGCGGAACATCCATTGAAACTTCTCTCGATCGACCCGTTTTTAACTGAAATTTTTTCCCTTCTCCAGTCATTTGCAGTTTAATTTTTTGCTTGAAAGCAAAGGAATTTATTTGAAATTCAATAAGTTCAAATCAAAAAGATAGATAGATATCTTCTGAACAAAACTGTGAATTCCATGACAAATGCATGGCTGCATGACAAATAAATATACAGGAATTACCTGCTATTCACAATGCACTGTCAAATAAATTCCAAAACTCAAGCAGTTTAAGAATCAATAGACTTTACCGTTGAAATTCATTTTTAAGTAAAAAGTACTTCAAGGTGCAATTTAAACAAACTGAACCTCTTCTTCTTGATATTGCGAAGCATCAGCGTTATCAGAGAAGATATTTCTTATACTTTGACTTCCCGTTCCATCCTCTTTTTCAACTTGTACAAGCACTTCTTTTGCTGAAAATTCTTTTTTTTAATTTCGAAAATTTTGAGGAAAAAATCTAAAAAGCGGTATGAATTCGACTACAGTAAAACTTTGGTTAATTAAAAAAATGATTTACGAATGATTTTTAGGTAGGCGCTAGAACGTGTCATGTGATTTGTATTATCAGTCACTTCACAAGTGTACCATCCTTCATCTTCCAACTGTACATTGGAAATTTGCAAACTTGCTGTCCCAACCAATCGGATACGTTTTTTTCCAATTAGTGCCATGCGTTTACCATCTGAATTTGACAAATTTGAAGAAATATTTCAAAAAAGAAGAAATGAAATGTGAAAAGCAAAAATGGGCAAATCCAAAAAACATTAGTTTATTTGAATTCGATGAAAAACGATCTCTTCTACTTGTTTTTTTTCAATTTAAACATATAATTTTCAATTTGTAAAAGCAACTGATTTCAGCCACTATAAATGTTCGGAATTCAACAAACCTTTGGTCCAAATGGTCTTCGTCGTTCGTGGTACCACCAAACAGACCATCTGCGCTATTTCACCAACTGCCTTGGTGGAATTTTCTGGCCCTTGTAAAATTAAATTAATCTGCTGATTGACTCGATTATCAACAAACAGATTCATCGCTCGACCACGTTCCAAGCCATTCCCGTATACTTCCGCTTCATCCATCGCTGGGCGTGAAATACACTGTAATACGGTAGCTGAAGTGTTTTATAACGACTAGACTCTCGCTAAAAGTGTCAACATACCTGTACACTTCCTGATAATGCAATACTAGAAGTCAATGTGGCATTTATCGGATTTGTAAAGAAATTAGTATGTGGCGGAACACCAAGCTTATCCATTGCATCAATCAATGCCAACCCATTCATATACACCATTGGAATTTCATAATGCAAATTTAGCGCCAAACAGCTCAGCTAAAATTAGAAAATTTTCTTGACTGGAACTTTGACTCAATCAAACAACTCAGTTAAAATTGGAAAATTTCTTCAGTGGAAGAACTCAACCTAGAATAGCTCAAAATTTCGAACAGTATCGAAAAATAGTTTGTGAGTACGATGTATATGTAAAATCGTGAAACATACAATGAAAAAAAAAACAAAATCTAGTTTGAAATATGAATAATGAAGTTGAGTACAACAACTCAACCCAGAATCATTATTCACCTTCCAGCTCTTATCTGCAGCAAGTTGTCCCAGCATAAGTTGTACATCAGTTGGTGCATGTACCCGTAAATTGTAATAAACTTTAGGAAATTCAACCGTAGCAAGAGAAAAGAGCGCCATACTTTCACAAATATAAATACCAGTATCTGCTTCATTTACTTGTTGAATTTGCAAATTACCCCAAATTTGACGCAGTCGTGCTTTTTCACTACTCACTGATATTTCTGTTTCGCCGGGATATAGCTATAGATTGATTCAAAAAATATTAAGCATGAAATTGTGCAAAAATTTTTTTTTAGATTTGGCATTCTCATAAAAAAAATCATTCTCCAGTATCATCTTTTTTTTCTTACATTATTAAAAATCATTTTTTAATTTTTTTCAACTCCACAGTGGTAGGCAATGAAAAATATGGAAGAGGTTGTTACCTTTGTCCAAATAATTTTTGCAGATGTAACGATACACTCCAGAAGTGCTGTTTGCCCCTTAACAACATCAATAACAATTGGTTCACTGACTGAGGACGATGTTACAGGATAAACAAGCATAGGCTCAATGCTGTTGTATCTTTTTGCCAATACCTGCACAATGAAAAATAAAGTGGAAGTCAGGAATTATTATAACAAAAAACCTCATTCTACGCATGCGGATATATCCAAGAATAGTGTAAACTGAAAAAATGTGCAAATAATTAATAAAATGAGTAATACTAAGTTAAAATATGCAGCCGTTCTGCATCATTTCAAGTTTATTGAAGAGATGACCTTTCTGAAAACCACTTTCTGTGCTCCTTGTTCCTTACTCCTTACTATTTAACATATATGATCAAACCAAAATGACTTAAAAGAATATATTGAATGAAACATCCATCAGTCTAGAAATCGGGAAAATCGTAAAACTTACCTCTAATTTAACAAAATGCGGTGATTTTCGAGTTTGATTGATAAATGTATTACGAACAACACAATAATAACTGCCTGCATCTGATAATTTTGACAAAGGTATTTGCATACCAGACGATGTCGAGAGATATCTTTCATCGCCTGCAGAATGAATTATGGCTAGAAAAAATTCATATTTTTTATGATGATAGCTTCTATAGTTTTTTAACTTTTTAAGAAATCTCACCAACGGGAGTATAGAAATCAGCAAAACTAATATCGATTGCTTTTACATATGTACATGTAGTAGAAATATGCGTTTCTTAATTTTAACAAATTTTAACAATTGAAATTTTTGCTGTGATAGGCAATCTACTAATAATAATTCAGCACTAATTAAATGAAAACCATCAAAACTGATATGTTTTCAAATATTCTGCTAATCAAGGTAAATTAAATGAAAAAATTTTTTTTCACTGTTTTTTGTTTTCTCACAAAAGATTGAAATTCTAATAATCATTTACCCTGTGTTCCCAGAAGTTTATCATAGCCTTCCTTCTCAAACATTATCTCCGGAGGACCAGGAATCACGTCAGGCATTCCCAAGCATGGTAAACGAGCAATTTGTCCTTGAAACACAACCACACTCTAAATAACAAAAAATCTGTTTCAGTTATCTGCTTATTTTCAATTATCAATAAAGTGACAATAAGAATGTAATGAAACGACTTAAAAATGCAATTGCTATAAAAAGATTAAAAATAAGAAATAAGACCTCCGATGCAACTTTTTCAAATTTGGTAATCCTGGCACGACGAAACTTTACTGGAGCAGATACTAGACGTGTATCAATATGTTTCCCATTAGACAATCGCACACCACGTATTAGAGCTGAACATTGATAATCCCCTTCGGCATGATGCTTTCCATTCTGTATTTTTAAGCTATAAGTTGAAATTAACTTTAGAATAATCCATAAACATTGTAACCTTACCTAGAAAATTCATACTTCACAACGCTATTAAACAGGCTACAATATTTTTCTGTTCAGTTCCCAAATTAATTTTGCTCAATTTGGGCATACACCAAACATAAAAAATTTACGCAGGCCCATCGACAAGCAATTCGCTGCGCATATTTTCATTTTCGATTTCGGTGATAGGTACACCATCTTTGATCCAACGTACATCGGCCATTGTGGCTCCACGCCAACCAGGCTCTATCTGACATGACATGCCAACAGTTTTACGCTTAACCAGATAGTATTGATCTGCATGCAGGATTAATCGTGGTAATTTGAAGATTCCTAAATTGTGGACAAGATCAATCTTAAATGAGTTTATAACATTTTAATTAGTTAAATTTACCTTCAATCTACTGAAATATTGTCTATAAGTGACGGTTAAACTGCTGGATTCTCTAGAAGTTGTTATAGACATATATAAAATGGAAATTATTTTTAACAGAAATTTATATTATGGTGTACGTGAAAATAGCCACTAACTATATTATTTTTTACCAAATAACAACAGATACGAATGTTAAAAATTTTACCAGTTATTCGAATCTTCAAGTTTGAATTTGCTATTTTTACACTCCAAATTAGTAAATTCCAGAAAGATGAGTGTTTGCATAACAAAAATTTACAAACTTACTATTTTCCGAAAAAACAAGAAACATCTGGTTTATAAGTAGCGGAATTACTGAATAGTATTTGTACATCAGGTGGCACATAAAATTCAAATACTGGAGGTAAAGGACACAGAACAGATGAAAAACAAGTTGGAATTTATGGATTGCATAATTTGTTGTTTGGTTCTATTAGTTCCATTGCTTCTTATTGTTTCATGGATAAACTCATATTTGTCTATCTTTCCCAGCTGTTACAATTATTTTAATAATTGATTTTGTGTCATCTTTCCATCGTATATCAAACTTCCTACATAGAGGATTCTGAAAAATGGATTATTTTGATTATTATACACAAGAAAAACGACCTGATTCGGCGATGGTAGGCGAGTGAGCTTTAACTTCTACATGAAATTTTATATTTGCTTCACTTTTCCTATCATCGTGCCATCTATAATTTATTCATCCGATCAATAAAAAGATATCTACGCTAATATGAAAGACAAAGCCACCAAATGTGTCAGGCAAATTGCTGATTCTACTAACAAGGAAAAGAATATTTTAGGAAAATTTCAAGATTGAACAAAAGAAAAGTGATGAGAATACTTTCTTTTCTGAACTACAGTACACAGTCCAACGAATATGAAATGCCGGGAGGAAGTTTTAGAAAAAGTACAGAGCTTACAAAATGCATTCAGCGACGGAATTAGCAACTTTAATAAATAGAATTCGCATTTTCTTTCTCCCTCCAACTGTATGACATTCAATAGTGTTTCACGACAAAATATTGAAATCATAGTTAATCATTGAAAGAAATTTTAGATCCTATAAAAAAAAGTTTTTTTTTTTATAGGATCTAAAATTTATGTTTAAAATTTTTTGAAATTTCTGAGAATAAGATAGATTTCAGCAAGAATCAAAGTAATCAATAAAGAAAGTGATGGGTTTCTCGGATATTTTAATGTTACAATTTGAGTCTATCAGAAAATAATGAAAAGAATTTCTTCGGAACAATACGTTTTTGTGCAAAAGTTATTTTCAAAGTAATAAATTAAGTAGATTAGTGATGCGCAAAAGTCATTTCTGGTTTTTCATACTCTGAATTATTATTTTTTTATGCCGACAAGTGCTTCGAAATATTTCCAAAAAATTATCAAAATTCCTGACAGGCTACATTCGTTCAACTGTAACAAAAGGCTGATTTAAAAATTTACTCGCAAAAAAAGAGATATGAAGAAAAGAAAATGAACAAACAATGGAGATTGGTGATTTAAAGTATCCAAGTAACTAAAAATACATTCGATGGCGATTGTGAATGTCCATACAATTTTTATTGAAAGTTTTAAATTTATAGAAAAAGTAGCTTTAAAAAGAAGTAATTTATTATTTTGAAAATATTTCGATTTTGTAAATCGAATGTTTTTAACCATTTGACATCGCAAAGAATATTTTACACGAAATGTTCAAATCAAAAGCGAAAATCTGAATTTCAAAATACAAATTGTCCAAACTCTACTATATGACTACTATTAGCAAATAAAAATTAATTTCCATTAAGGAAACAAGAAAAAAGTGGATGAATTCTACATGAACTCTTTATTAAACATAAGGTATTTAAAGAATTGCTGTAACAGCTCAAAATATATAAGGGCCTACCACTAAATTATTATTGAACTGTTAACAATTCAACAAACTTGACATCGCTCAATTCAAGATACATTCATTTAATCTGCAATAGCAAATTAAAATCATATTGAAAAATTTGGACAGAAGCACAACATGATACAAGAGAAATTTGAACCTTCATAAGAATAATTTCGGCAAAAAAAATGTGGAAAAGAGGTGATTTAGAATGTGATTTTAAATATTTTCAACATCAACCTCAATCACATATAACCAACCATTTGAATGTTTATTTATTGTCATCTAAATCCAAATAAAAAAGAAAAAAAGCGATCAAAAATATCGTAAATAAACGTATTTTTTTATAAGATTATCACACACTCTCCCTTTCATCTTAGCTCGTTTTGTCTAAACTATTTTTAGACTTAGTACAGCTTTCTAGACAGTTGTAATAAAGAATATTAAAAAAATTTTGAAAATTGCAGTAGATTAATTCACAAGCGAAACTATTTGATAATATTGTGTGCTACAAAACATTTGATAGCGCTTAAAATACCAGTATTAAAATGACAATCCGTAAAAATTAAAAATGAAGTATTCGCTCACATTTGATACACTAAAATTTTAAAAGATAAGATGAAAATTGTGAAGACATCATTAATGCATACTTCAACTAAATCAGTTAAGAAATAGAAATTGCCCTGGTAACTTTACAACGTGAAGTTTTAAATTTGAAAAATTTGAATACATTTTGCAAATTAAATATGAAAGTTTTTCGCAAAAAGCAAATAAAAAGAGGAGATGAGAGAGAAAAATGATAGAGAAAATTTGCAAAAATGGGGAATGAAAATAAAAAGTAGAATGCAAGACAGAAAAGTACAGAATTAAAAATAGGAATATTAAATACACTGCATTAATTTAAAGAATTTTTGAATTGGAAAATTCATGATAATAAAAACTAAAAACTTGAAATGTTGAAAAAATAAAAAATAAATATTGAAAAACATTTATGTAAGGTTCGGATTAATACAATTCCGTTTCATTCCCATTCTGACAAGTATCCAAAAGTTGAGAATTTGGCAAAGTTTAAAGTCCAAAGTCCAAGACTTCGGAAATAAAAGATTCCTTTTGAACGTTTTTCAACTTTGGATTTAAAGTGTTTGAAGTTCAGTTTAAAACATGTAATAGCATATCTAGCAATTTTATGCTGTTTATATGTTTTACATTTGACTTTTTACTGAATCGCTTTACCTACTAGCATTGAATTGCAGTATTATTAACAGTACAACGGGTCACTTATGTACGTTTAATCAACAGTATAATGCATAATTGACTGGACTTCAAAAAAATTCATCTGAACTGCATCTGGAATTTCATTCCTCTACTGAATTCAGTTAAACAGAATTTTGTAGGACAATTTAATCTTCATATGATGTCGAAGAGTAAAGCTGATTCATTTTATAATTGTCAAGGAAATAACAACTTAAAAATCTAATTTTCACAGAGCAAGCACTTTTCCCTTCATGTGAGTTATTTGAATTAAGGACAAAAATCAATCTTCTGTTACTGCTGAAATTTCGGGAAGATTTTGTTAAGATATTTGACAGCTGCTTACGTAAGAGGAAACAGTTAGTGTAAAAAAATACAAAATAAACATTAAAGAAAGACGAGTCCGCACTGTCACTATTGCATAACTCGAAAGCAATTAAAGAGATTGCCGCAGCGCGCCATCGCTTCTCGGTTCTATAATTTTTTTTCAAATATGGATCGCATGAAATGATGGATATGGAGTATTACCACTGCATTTTGCATTATATCATACTGGATATTTTCACGTTTCAAATCGTAACATTGCTGTGACTGAGTAACTAACTAAAGTCACTACCTGAAAAGAAAAAAGATCCGAACTAGGGGTGTAAAGTTGATTTTTGACTTCACATTTTAAGTCTATTTCTAAAAAAAGTTTAAATGTTCAGGAACATATTGGGAAATTTATGTACAGCATTCCAGAAACCAAAAAAGCAATTTTCTCCTTCAAGGTTGAAGGTCCAATGAAATATTTTGAAAATATGGGAAATTCCTAACCTTAATTCAAAACTGAAGAGCTTATAAGGATAAGCGATAACGACCATAATTAAAAAATTACGAAATACCTATACATAATAAGTAAATCTAAACATTTTTGACAACATAACTTTCATAAAATGGGAGGTGAAATTTAGATAAGCAAAATACATTCCTGTCATCAAAGGACTAATATTGTACGCAAAAATAACAATGTAATGCTGTGTAAAAAGGCTTTAAAGAGCCAAAAGTAGTTGAAGATTAAAAATCGAAAAAAAGTGTTGACTCCACTCATATTCATTCTACAAACTTCAAAAGTCCAGTTTTTGTGATAGCTTCAGAAAATTTAATGTTACTGGGGAAGAAAGTCAGAAAAATCTAAAATAACCGGAGGAACAGTTGTCTCTTTGCAAAAATCTATATGGATAAAGTACAAAATTTACTATCTATATGAATAAAGTGTAAAATTCATGAATGTTCATTGCCTTACTCCATATTCAAATAGGATTTTAATGCATATCAAAAAAATAGTTTTTTTTCTTTCATATCAGGACGAATATGTATACTTAATTTCGTTAATTCAGCTAATGCTAACGATAGAAAGCAAATTAAATATATAACACATTGCAAAAAAAATTACATGAAAAAAACGACATAAGTTTGTATAGCTATGATTATTCAATCTAAGTAGGATGGACAACTCTTTCAAGACCTAAATTTTTACAACTTTTTTTATTCACAAGTAATGTTACTTCGAAATAATACATTTTATCAGAATACCTGAAAAAAGTTATCAACAAGAATGATGGCTACATGCAATACTGATTTATTTTATTTTAAAAATTTTTCAGACAATTCAAATAAATGGAACCGAACTGTGTAACGGAAAAGAAAAAGCGAAACTTGAGAAAGTAGAAATGCATAAAAGAGTATGAAAACATCGGTCATTCATTATTCATTGGGAAGAAAGGAGGAAAGAGATATGTTGAGCGGTTTTGTCAAATGACGAAAATGATCATGTGGTAGTAATGATGTGAATGGGCAACGAATTATTGTTCTCTTTCTCTTCACCTTCCTCTCCTTCATTTTCACAAAAACAGAAAATGATGAGCAGGTTGTTGTTAATTTTTTCTCCTTCCTTCGTATAATTTTTGGGAGAATTTGTGTTTAAAAAAAAGAAAGAGAAAAGTATCATTAGGATGTGTTATGGGAAATTTTTTTCCAATAACATACGGTATAATGCATAAATGATGCGATGAGAAAGTTTCGGTAAAAAAGGAATTTCGATATCCATTCATGTCCACTTTGCTAAAATCTCAGTTACAAATTTGAGTTGCGTATTTTGTTAAGTGTGATTGCAATAA